TCTTCGGACCTCAAGAGTCCGAAGGATTTCAAAATTCCTTTAAGGCACAAAGAGCTGCCGAGGAATAAAATTTATCTTTGGACCTCAAGAGTCCGAAGATTTCAAAATTCCTCTAAGGCACAAAGTGCTGCCGAGGAATAAAGTTCATCTTCGGACCTCAAGAGTCCGAAGATTTCAAAATTCCTCTAAGGCACAAAGATTTGCTGAGGAATAAAATTCATCTTCGGACCTCATGAGTCCGAAAGATTTCAACAATTCCTCTATGGCACAAAGAGCTGCCGAGGAATAAAGTTCATCTTTGAACCTCAAGAGTCCGAAGGATTTCAAAATTCCTCTAAGGCACAAAGAGCTGCCGAGGAATAAAATTCATTTTCGGACCTCAAAAGTCCGAAAGATTTCAACAATTCCTCTAAGTCACAAAGAGCTGCCGAGGAATAAAATTCATCTTCGGACCTCAAGAGTCCAAAAGATTTCAAAAATTCCTCTAAGGCACAAAGAGCTGCCGAGGAATAAAGTTTATCTTCGGACCTCAAGAGTCCGAAAGATTTCAAAAATTCCTCTAAAGCACAAAGAGCTGCCGAGGAATAAAGTTCATCTTCGGACCTCAAGAGTCTGAAAGATTTCAAAAATTCCTCTAAGGCACAAAGAGCTGCCGAGGAATAAAATTCATCTTCGGACCTCAAGAGTCTGAAATATTTCAACAAATTCCTCTAAGGCATAAAGAGCTGCCGAGGAATAAAATTCATCTTCGGACCTCAAGAGTCCGAAAGATTTCAAAAATTTCTCCAAGGCACAAAATAGTGCCGATAAATAAACTTTCATGAAAATTACCTCGAACTCAAATAAATCGAAGACTAAAATTTTCATGTAAAATCCTCCAAAGCGAAAAATAGTGCCAATAAATAAAATTACATGAAAATTACCTCAAACTTAAATAAGTCGAAGGTTTTCCATGTAAAATCCTCTACGGCACAAAATAGTGCGATAAATACAATTACATGAAAATTACCTCGAACTCAAATAGGTCAAAGGTTACATTTTCATGTAAAATTCTCTAAGGCACAATATAGTGTGGATAAATAAACTTTCATGCAAATTACCTAGAACTCAAATAAGTCGAAGGTTAAATTATCATGAAAATTAGCTACACCGCCTCCATCAAGGCATATTGTCCCAGGTTAAACTTTCATGCAAATTACGAGATATATTTTTCTTTCCTTAATGGGGGCAATACCTTCTGTAATGAGGGCAAGATAAGTAGCCCTAAAGAACTATTAAGAAAAGAAAATATATTCTCTCACTTTTGAATCTTCGGACCCACGATTCCGAAGACCTCTCACTTTTGAATCTTCGGACCCACAAGTCCGAAGAAAATATATTATCTCACTATAGAGACATTCAAGATCAGTATGATTTAGGTATATGGAGGCTTCGAAAATAGCAAATTGTCATCCTGAGACTGCTATAGAGACATTCAAGATCAGTATGATTCAGGGTACCAAGTTTCATACCTCCCTAGTCAAATATTCCCCTCCAGACTTGCAGACTCTCAATACTAGGGCACATATCTACATTCGACTTGAGGAGAATGTAGCCCACCGAGTACAGCATGCCATCCTCGTTACAGTAGAGAATAAGCCTCGGGAAAAAGTTTCAAGTTCAAAAAGTCAAAGAAGCTAGCATGCCTCAGCACCAGTCGCTCCGGTACCTGAGAAGAGGCAAAGGACAGAGGAAAGGTTCACGCTTCTTCTTACCACCTTGGCTCGGCTATTCAAAGAAAGCAAGGTGAGATTCGCAGCCCCTCAGCCAATGAGGCAACCCTTGGAGCAAAGGGATAAGAGCAAGCATTGCGCCTACCATAAGGGATTATGGGCATACAACTAATGATTGCAGATCCCTTAGGCGGCAAGTGGAAAACATGATAACCATGGTTGAGTTGTCAGACTACCTCACACCAAAAGAGTACGTGAAACCTCGAGAGGTCAACCCTCAGAAAATGGAGGGCAATCAAGTAAAAGTCATTCATGTAATACATGGGAGACCAGAGGACAACCAAGAGTCAGAAGAAGTGTACCGATCCAGACTGAGGGTAGCCCACAAGCTAAGGAAGTTATCCTCAATAAACACAATCACCGCGGGCAGTATCAGTATTGAGTTCCTCTTTGGTATGAAGCCAAGGATATCACAAGCTTCGGACCCTAAGAGTCCGAATGTATCAATGTAAATACAAGCCTCGGACCTCAAGAGTCTGAGGGTATCAATAAAATTCCTCTAAGGCAAAGGCAGAAGCCAAGGAAATACAAGCCTCGGACTCTTGAGTCCGAGGGCATCAATAAAATTCCTTTAAAATAAAGGCAGAAGCCGAGGAAATACAAGCCTCGGACCTCTAAAGTCCGGGGGCATCAATAAAATTCTTCTAAGGCGAATACAGAAGCCGAGGAACTATAAAGTTCGGATCTCAAGGGTCCCACATTAGTAAATTCCTTTAAGGCACATGCAGAGGTCGAGGAATTACATGCTTCAGACCTCAATATTCCGAACATATTAATAAACTACTCCAAGGCATATATCACTGTCAAGGAAAAACATGTTTTGGACCACAAAACTTCAAAAGAATCAGTAAAATACATGTTTCAGACCCCAGAGGCATCAATCAAATACCTCGGATCTCAAGAGTCCGAAGACATCAAAAATTCCTCAGGCGCGTAGCCAAGGAACCTTAAGCCTCAGACATTTTGGTTCACTACGATTAATCAATACAACTCATTACACTAGATCCGACTAATCCCCTCTAGTTATGACTACCAAACCAAACTAAAGGGAATTAGGGGCAAAGTGTGGGGGCAAAAATCTCCCCTTCCAATTAAGACAAGACACATCAGCACATAAGGGGACCACCATAAATACTGAGACTATTCAACTTTCATATTGGGCTTCTACAAAAAGCTTAGGCCAGGTCAACTAATCATAAATGGGCTGAAATTGTTAAGAAGGCCCGAGATGATAGGACCCTAAGCCCAGGTACAAATATATAACTAAACCCATTTTAGTAATAGTTCTATTAGAAGAAGAATTATAATTTATGGAAACCAAATAATATAAATCCTTATTATAAGGAAAGTATGATACAATTTAGATTCTTAAAGGACAAGCAATGCGAGTCATAAAAGGAATCCATTAAGGTTTTTCCTATATAAAAAGGGCTCAGGACCCTCAATAAGGGGGACACAGGAAAAAGGGCAAAGCCCCTAAAAATAGAGATCCAATTCTCATTGTCAGAACTACGTTCCGACCTGATTCCCACGCTCTATGCGGGATACGTAGGCAATCTAGGTAATCCTAGGTTCGGTCATATCATCAAAATACCCTCTCATCTCTATATAATATCTCTAGTTCGTTGTTCTTTCTCTATTATTATTTTGGGTGTAGTAATTGTAGAGAATTCGTTGACTTGTCAAAGTTGAACGAATTTTTGCACCTACAACATTAGCCTAAATAAGATCAATCACTAAATCTTTCTAAACTGTCCATACTTCGCAAATATAAGTAGTTCGATTGCACTTAAAAATGAAAATAAAATATAGTAAAATTAAAAAAACAAATATATCCAGAATATAGTTCCATGGTTTTCAACAGGAATCATTTTCTTACCTGCGAGACAGATATATCCAGAATAAAATATCCCAAGGCATTAGTCAAGATTCAATATGCAGTAAATAATAGACCACAAAGGTTTCCAGCTACATAAAATCCAGAACCAACTTGACATTAAAGATAGGGATTATGGAAATATGTACAATAAAAAGAAACGTGTTACAATTTGTTACAAAAAAATAAAAAAAGTTATATGAACAGGCAGTTCAGCCGGTTATCTTGATCATTTAACTAAAACAACAATATATTCTGGTGCAACATGAATGTGTTGAAAACAACAACATATTGAGCCAGCAAAACATACAATGTTGCATCAACTGATCTACATATATCTCTGGCATGGGTGCTTTCTTTGCCAACTCGGCCGGTTACCTTTAGCCAAGTAATTGACATCACAAACAAATTTTGGTCATTCAGTAGGGTATTCTACGCGTCCCACTACAGTAGACACACATAAATAGTGCTACTAATTTGCACAACTACTGATTTATAACTTTCCTACCTCATCTTCCGGAACCTTTTACTCTTATTTTGCTCCTTGGCTATTATCTATGGCCAAAATAGAACTTGTAGTTTATTAATCTGGTGGTGGGTGTAGCAACATCAGAATAAATGATTCTCAATCTGTTTTACAGAAGATCACTTGAATCAAAACCTCACTTAACTGATCTAATAATAGTTACCAATTTGTCCTTTTTGTATTAATAATGAAAATTGGTTGAGTTGATGGTTCACAATTTGTCTATGGGATATAAGGTGCTTGTTTGAGTTGCTTGTATAAAAGATGCATGATATATCAGCTATATTTGAAACCAATTTAAATATATATATATCACGCTTGAAAGATTATTACACCAAGAAGAATATATATTTACAATTGAATTAATGGAGCAGCCAATGCAGATCCGCTTAGCTAGTTGAAATGAGAGCAATTATAATGGAGGAGTTTAGTGGACATGTCACACATTCAGTGACCCAATGTCATAATACCCTTGGATAACCAACATGCGTACTAACTTCTTTAGTTTCTACCAAATCAACCCGTTTAATTTTGAAAACATCTCGAATTATTCCTTGTGTTTTTTTCCTTTTCTTTAACATGAATTTTGTCATTACCTTTATTAAAAATAAAAATAAAATAAAATAAAATAAAAAACACAAAGAAACCTGCTATTTATAACTTCCTTTAGCAATTCAGTGTCAAGTATGCTTAGGCTTTAACACTTGGAATTGAGGTGAAAAGTGCAAGAATCATAGTGTCAAAATCAACAAACTCAGGATTGAGGTGAAAAGGCAAGAATCATAGTGCCAAAATAGTCTAAACCCAAAAACATTACCCAAAGAAATTAACTTAAAATCTGAAACCTGCTATATATGACTTCCTTTAGCAATTCACCAATATGTACTATGAGCATGTCATAACATTGACAATATAAATTCTAGAACATCTTACAAGGAATTTTAGATGATTAAAGCATCACCTACACTCACTTCAGGCTTTCCATGGATTTTCATCATGGTAGGAGTAGACAATCCATATACACCAAGTCACACAATCCTTCTCAATGAGTGTTACTCTCACACTCCATGCGCACTCTGACTCAAATTCTAACTATTTATGACTTAATTTTGCCGCTCTCAAGCTACTGCTTTAGAATTCGCTCTCGCTCCCGTTCCCGCTTTATGTGACTTAGCATATACATCAGCATCGAGCAACCCAACCTTCAGTTTCCTGGAATGTGCAATGGCCAAATTAATTGCAAATTGCACAAGTATGAACGAGAAGAGTAACTTAGTAAAAATAAAAGCAGAAGTTGCCTTGTTTAATTGTAGTAATGTGAAACCACACAACGCCACACGTGTTAAATATTATTTTTACTCTTACAACTCCATAGTTACCCCACTTTTAGACCCCTTACAGTGCTGCAGATGCAGCAATCTGAAAATGAACATCATCAACTTAATATTCAGTACTCCCCATAACTTTATTTCAATTACGTGAGAACTGTTCCCTCACTATAACCCCAAAAAACTTTAAAGCATATATAGGAAGCAAATGATAGAATGCAAGAGACAAAGAAGATTAGATTGAAACGCCAAATTACCATCTAAGGAAAAACATAGCTTCACAAAACTTAAGCACCGATGTTAGTGTATGCTTAATCAATTCAATCCATTGTAAGATATGTTTTCCATCTATCACGTGAAAGAAAGCCTCTCAAATTTATAAGTCATCATTGGTTCTTCATAATTACTGTTCAAACAGGACAGCTATGAGCCTAATTTCCCAACTCTATTTAAGTTTACCGAGCTCAAACAGTAATAAGGTATACATAAAATTCACAAAGCTCTACATATAGATATATATGACTCCAATGTGAGAAAGAAGGAAGACAAAAGGAAACCTCTGTCCAGGGCTAGTCAAAACCAGTATACCCATCAATAACTCGTCTTTGAATTTGCTAATTCATCCAAACAGGCCAACCATGAACCCAAGTTCCCAAATTTATTTAAGCTAATTGAACTAAAATGTAATTGGGTATGCATAAAATTCACAATCTCACACACACAAACACACATATAGGTTGTGAGCAAGAGATTATGCAATTGGGTATGGAGGATATTACCAGTGTTCACCTAAGGGAAGAGTGAGGACACGCCGCAGAGAGGAGCCGTGACCGCCACGAGCTGAGTCGTTGGAGACGTAGGAAGGGACAAAGGGCATTGCCATAAAGCGCTGGAAGAAATCGATCTGCTTGGGTCTGGAAAGTCTGACGCCTCTGGTCAAACCCAAGGGAAGTGTGTCACTGGGAACTGGTCGAGCGAGTCCGTCGAGGGTCGCCGGCGTCGACATATCCAGGTCCCAAAAACTCCCGTCCATTGCCCATCTCAAATTTTTCATTTCCGTCCCCTCCTTTTCCCAGGAATACCTTTTCCTTTATCCCATGACTAGGCAAGTATATTTAGGTTTACGAAGTGAAGAAGTAAGAAATTTCCACTCTCAATTTTTAGAAAGAGTAATTCTAAATTACAAAGATTTTCTCCCTTTTTTCACTCTCTTTTTCGCCTATTCATAGATGGTTACAACCACTCTCAAAGCTCTCTAACTGATTTTCTTGTGATGGGCTGGCGATATCAGCTTTCCTTCATTTTGGGCCCATCCCTTTCGTCTTACTTTGGGCTTCTGAACTGATCTCCTGGTCCTGGGCCTGCTTAGTGAAGACTTGCTTAATCTCAGTTGCTCTCCCGTTCCTAATAACCTGGATCGTGCCCGGCCCAGGCCACTTTTGGTATCCTCATCTACCCCATAATCTTTCCCTAATTAATCAGGGTGAGATAATCGAAAGGACACAATCATGACATGACGGCTCAAGGCGGTGATATGGAGAAGCGAACGGCTGGCTGAGAGACCCACACTTTGAGATCTGTTACACCATTATTGCCGTAGTTCCTTGGGTATTGAATCATTTTCACTTTAAAAACCCCAACTTCAAACCTTTTGTCCTTCTTCAACCTTTCTCACCTCCGTCTTTAAGCGTCATCTTCCCAAGGTTAGTTCTGATCCTTTACTGTTTTTCTTCAACAAAAAAAAAAGTTTAAAACCTAAAAACTTCTCCGCCCTTTTCATCGATCGTGACCTAGAGGCCCTTCGCTCGAGGAACAACATTCCTAATGACATCATCCTTAGGGCTTACACTATGAATCTTGATGAGAGATCTGGTGAAGGTCTCCTTCTTGGGAAGGTTCTCTTCTCTGCTCTTCACTTGAACATAGTTAGGTTCCCTTTACACCCATTCTTTTGTTATGTCTTCAATAAATTAGGGTTTTCCCCTCTTCAGGTTAACCTTAACTTCTTAGGGTAATATCTGTCTTTTTTGATTTTGAATCGTGATAAGGGTCTTGAGTTACATATCATAAACCTTCTCATTTGTTATCGAGTTACCAAAATCAGAACCAACAAAATGTATTTTCACTTCTTTCCCATCGAGAAGCGATCTATCTGTACGGACAAGCTCTCATTTGAAAAGGGTTGGAGGAAAAACCTAATTGGGGCTAGTGAAAATTGGCGAACTCCATTCACTCAGACCTTCCCTATCTCGACCACTTTTGGAGAGTGCTCTGTCCCTCAGTATAAGAAATATAAGAAACAATCCATCGACTGCCACTGTGAAACCTGCCTTCCTCGTTTATGTACTTTTCTTTGTAAATGCCTTCAAATAAATCATAACAAATTGGTTTATAGCGTTTGTAGGGCTAGTCTTGACATTCTAAAGGAGAGAGTTCTGAATAACGTCCCCTCAGCCGCTGACTTGCTCACCCCTGACAATCTTTCTGATATATTCGTCCTTGGATCCACCATGGAGAATATCCAAATTCCTTTTTTCAGCAGGAGGAGGAGTTCTTCACCCACTCTTTCAGCTGCACCAACTGTCACTGCGACCACCTCAACCATCCCGGTTATAGCCCTGACTATAGAGCGTTTGATCACTAGGCCCTCCACATCCACCTCAGTTGAAGTTCAGTCTGTCGTGCTGAACAATGAACCCTCTGACACCTTGGCTAAAGCTTCCCCGCATGGTGCTCAGAATGTTGGGGGTTCTTCTCCAAATGCTGAGGGATTTCATCCTACCCAAGCTGACGTTTTAGAAAAAAGACTAGGAAAAAGACCCATGCTTGAGGGTGGTTCTGATAAAAGTGACCTCCCTCTAACCCGAAGGGCCCGGACTTTTTTCAGGGTTACCAATTCTATCCCTTCTCCTCAGCTATTTATCCCTTCTCCTCAGCTATCCATTCCGAAGGGCGAATTAGCTAGAACCTTCGACTCTTCACCAACAGTGCCCCCATGGCGTTCCTTGCTTAGTCGTGGGGATGGGTTAGTTATTGCCCACACAGACTCTTTGTTCAAAGACCCAGTCACATCATTTGCCTTCTACAAGGGCTTTTGGACCCCAAAGAACTTGAGATTTAGAATAAAATGACCTTCAACAAAATGTACCAACGCTTCCCAGCAGCTGCTATTGAGGTAATTCTTCCTCACTTTTTTACTTTTTTGTTTTTCCCGTTCTGATTATTTGACATTTGTACTTATTAGAACACCTTTGCCTTTGTGCAGACTCTATTTGGGATGTTTACCTTCTAGAAGAGTATTGAAACTGCAAATAAGAAGATCAAATCCCTTTCTGTTGGCCTTAAAAGATTGGTTGAATCAGAAAAGACAACCCAAGCCAAAAACACAGAACTACTGGTTAAGCTGAATGAGTCAAAGAAAGAGATGGATGCCCTAAGGGCTGAGAGGGACACTATAAAGGTTGAGCGAGATGCTTTAAAGGCTGAACGAGATTCTCTCCAAGATGAGGTTGACATTCTGAAGACAGAGAAGAACGTCATGCTGACAGAAAGGAATGCACTGAGGATAGAAAAGGGGGACCTTCAGCGCGCTCTGATCGCTGAACGGTTGACCCATTCTAATTCTGAAGAGAAGTTCTTAAATAAACGCTCTGCTCTGTTGAACGTCATAGGCAGAGTTGATGGTGGCATGAGAGCTCTCCATGCTCATTTCATTAGGATAGGGGCTCTTAGGTATGCCAAGTGGTACAAAGACGGTTTTATTAACTGTTATCCCCTTGAGGGCGAATCAAGCACCTGTGCGGGTCTAGATGAGCTAGATGCCTCCCTGGATATTAACCCACCGAACACTTACCAAGATTTACTCCCTGTTCATGCTAAAAACATATTTATTGAGTGCAATGAGATTGTAGCTTCAGGTGTCATCCCACCTTTTCGTCTTCTGAATGTTCCTCCCATCACCACCATCGTTCCTTCTACATTTGTTGCCTCTGACAAAACTTTACCGACTGAGGAGATCATCCATCTTGACTCTCCCTCCAGAGATGGTGAAACATCTAATGATGGAGAGGGAAATAGCGAGCCAGCTGGTGATGATGGGGCAGGCAATGGATCCGGCATAGGAGAGGATACTATATAATAACATTCTGCTGACTTTTGTAGTTATTTTCCCTTTTATCTCAATGTCAACTCATGTACTCCAAGAATTATTTTGTAATAAATGAAATGACAATTCTGTTTGGCAAAGCTTTTATTCTTCTACTTGTACTTGAATGAGTTGATAGTTTAATTTTTCTATTTTTGGTTTTCATTTTGCACAAGTGTTTAACGTTCGGCTCGTAGTGCCATTTGCCACTTATTTGGCTAAGTGTCTGGCGCTCGGCAAGAGTACCACTTGCCACTTAGCTTTCATCTTGTGTAAGTGTTTGGCATTCGGCTCTTAGTGCCATTTGCCACTTACTTGGCTAAGTGCTTAACGTTCATCTAGAATGCCATTTGCCACTTTTTTATTTCTGTGCAAATGTTTGGCATTCAGCTTTTAGTGCCATTTGCCACTTACTTGGCTAAGTGTTTGGCGGTCGGCTAAAATGCCACTTGCCACTTTTTTATTTCTGCGCAAGTGTTTGACGTTCGGCTCTTAATGCCATTTGCCACTTACTTGGCTAAGTGCTTGGCGCTCGGCTAGAATGCTACTTGCCACTTTTTTATTTAAAAATGTTCTTTGCTCAATTCAATTTTTGAAACCAACTGAATTCCTTTTATATATCCTTGTAAAGTCTATACATTTGTAAGAGTGTAACTCTGAACGAATATTGTTTAAAACGTAATTCAATCTTTTACTGGTAGTACCTTTTCAGAGACGTGACATTCCACAGTTTGTTGACCAATCTTCCAGCTATAGTCTCTAACACGTATGCCCCTTTTCTTATGGCTTCTGCCACTCTGTATGGGCTTTCCCATGGTAACATCATCTTTTTAACAATCCCCACCTTCTTTTTCAGAACTAATTCACCAGGTGCAAAATCTCTATGCCTTACCTTTTTGTTACGGCTGTTCATAAGCATTTGCTGATATAATGTGAGCCTTATTGCCGCTACATCTCTTTTCTCCTCTAGCAAATTGAGGTTAAATTTCAACATGCTATCGTTCTGCTCTTGATTCCACGCTAAACTTTAAACAGTTGGAACTAAGTGCTCGACCGGTATTACTGCCTCGGTGCCGTAAGCCATAGTGAATGGGCTTTCTCTAGTCAGTCGTCTTAGGGTTGTTCTATAAGCCTACAGGACGTTCGAAAGCTCATCCAACCATTTCCCCTTTTCTTCTTTAAGCTTCTTCTTATTACAAGCAAAGATTATTCTATTCGTGATCTCAGCTTGCCCATTTGCCTACGGATGGCTAACTGCTGCCAATTTTTGGTTGATTCCATACTCCTCTAACAAATCTCTCACTTGCTTACTGTCGAGATTAGTCCCATTGTCCATAATGATCGACCTTGGTATGCCAAAGCGACAAATAATATTACTCCAGATGAAGCATTTTACTTGAGTTTGGGTCATACTAGGATATGGCTCTGCCTCTACTCATTTGATAAAGTAATCTGTCGCTAACAGAACGTATTTGTTCTGTGACCTTGCGGTCGGCAGAGGGCCAACCACATCCATCCCCCATTGCGCGAAAGACCATGGTTTGGCCATTACGTGCAAGTTTTCAGGTGGTTGGTGAATCAATGGTCCAAACTTTTGGCATTTATCGCATCTTCTAGAGAATTCTTTCGCATCTCGTGACATGTTCGGCCAAAAATATCCCTGTGTTATCGCTTTGTGCACTAAAGATCTTCCTCCTGAATGATTGCCACACACACCCTCATGGATAGTTCGCAAGATCTGCCTAGCTTCTATGGGGGTAACACATTTCAAGTACGGTCTAGAGAAAGACCTTTTATAAAACTGATTGTGTACAATATCATACTTTGCAGCATTCGATCTGATTTTCCTTACCTCATCTTTCTGCTCGGGTAACACACCATCTCGTATGAAAGTCATGATTGGGTCAATCCAGCTCGGCTCGTATAGTATGACATTAACTTGCCGAAGGTCCAAATCGGACGGTTCATCAAAGATGGATGGCTGACATAACACATCAACTGGTATAACCCTAGCCAATGTTTCTCCAAAACTTGATGCACTACAAGCCAATTGATCGGCATCTTCATTGT